CTGCGTTAAAGGTCAAGGTCACTTTTGCTATTTTTAGAAAAACTTTGACATTGCTTTATCGACTTCATTCCTCAATGCAATTTCATGAAACTTCATACAAGTGTTTCATATTGCAATGCCTTGAACAAGGTCGCATTTCAGGTTACCGCGATAAAGGTCAAGGTCACTTATCTTCAGAGTTAGCACACATGTGACATGTGTGCTAACTCCTATATTTTCCACTTTCTGTCTTTGGCTAGACTTTAGTTAGTTCCATATTGGTTAGACATTATGTTTATAGATTAATTTTCATCAAAGTGTGGACGTAGGTATGTTTTGTAAACATTTTCTAGTTGAATTTAGCTCTTTATTATCATACCTAATATATACATATCCTGGATTAATGCCTTTTGGTCTATGGACATTAATTACATGAGGTCATATTTTCTTATTTATTTTGTCTGATTGTTGACATTTAGCCACAACAACCACTACCACTCCAGGTAGGTTACCTTTTCCTCGTTGGTCTAATTACACCATCGTGTTCATTAAAATATTTACATCAAAGGTATGACTTTGTACTCGGAACACAGACCAGCCACACGTGAACAATTTTTCTGTTATTTTGATAATTTTTTAAACTTTCAAAGACAATGAAAATTCGTTCAAACATCTTGAAAAACATCTGAACTTAATGCCAAAAGTAATAAGTATAATTCAACCGTCTGAAAAATTGCTCTTCTGTGTTCTAGGACTTGGTCAATTCCTCAAAATAAAACCTATCCCTTTGTTATAAAAGATGTGTTACGTTCACTTTACATATCCAGTTTGCTCTCATGTTACCAAAATATCTCCTTGTTTGTTGCTATGCTCTGTATCATCTTTAAAGCTTGAAGTTCTCAAATAAAAAATTATATGAAAAATGTCGACACTAACACTAGTCCGTTAGTCCTGGACTAGTAGATTTCAGCAAGGACTAGTGAAGCACCTCACTTACTGGTCCTTTGGACTTGTGAAAAACAGGATTTTGAAAATAAGAACATTCCTTTTTTGAATTTAGAAAACTGCTTTAAGTAAGATATATTGCATGATAATTGTCCAAATATTCCTAAAAGTTCACCACATTTTTATGGCAGTCGTTATCTTAAGTCCCCTACAGTCCATTACTTTTGATGTTTCGTGCTGTAGATCGCGATGTTTCCTTATCAGGAAATATTGGACTAATTACATTGACAAAGGACTAGTAAATAATCTATTCAACTAGTCCTGTGGAATACCAAGCAAAAAAGTTAATGTCTAACCCTGAAAATGTAAAAAATAACATGGCTTTTGCTTTCATGTGATAGCTATTGCTTTCCCCTCCAATGACAGTTTGTATAAATCTGTGTTTGATGAAACAGAAGTGTATTATTGACTTACATAGGCCTATAACCAGATTGTTATAATATCCAATTATTTCTCATAAGATATATGTTTTACCTGTATAAGTAATACCAGTATCATGTAATCAATAATTTTCCATTGTTTAAATTACTTTATCTATTAAACACATTTTACTTATTAAGTTCTCTTCATCTACGAAATGTAATGTAATCTTGATATATATATATATATAAATCAAAGGAAAGGAGCAAAATTTCTATTTAGTGGTGAAAAGGAATATCATTACTTAATCTTTTCAGTATCAATTTCAGCCTTGATACATTGCCCCTCATTTTATTTGTGACCTCACCTACCATCAACATATTCCAAGGTTCCGTATAACGATATTGTATTAGTTATATAAGAATTTCAGTCTACGTTTCCCTCAATTTATCGCTAAATCACTTAAATATGTCAAAATAATCTCTGGACAGGTAGTGGCGGTATAACAAGGTTTTCCTGTATCTCAAAATAAAGATTAAGCTATTGTGAAAACCCGTTCTTGCAAGGTCTGGGGAATAATAAATAAGCTCAAGTCCAGTTTATTGTTTCTAACTCGTTATATCTCAGTCTCCAGTCTCATCTCTCTGAATGCCATCTCTCTGAATGTCATCTCTCTGAATGCCATTACAAAATATCACTTCTCTCTCTCTCAATCCTACCATAACTACCATTTCTATTGGTCAACTATTTATTAAGGGTGGGACTTACCCACATGACATGGACAGCCATCAGGTGGTCAATGAAGGTTCCAATGCTTCAGTCTGTACTGTCAGTTATATCTAATGATATAAACCTCCCTTGCTCTTTTCACTGCTCTAAATTTTGCTCCTGTCCTTTCATCATCAACACCACCATTCCTACATTCTCTCACAATAACACCTTGTCCTCAACAGTCTGTCTTTCATTCTGTCACTTTCATGTGATATAAATTCAACTGCTTTCTCTTACATCCATTTTATCCATCAATTTATCCCACTTTTCATATTTTTAATGATATTACAGATTGTCCGGCAATCTTTCTATCTCATACTGTCATATTATCTAGACATCAAAGTGTGTTAATGTATGTGTAAGTCTGAAAGTGAAATCAATCTCATGAAACCTTTAAGCTTGGATCAACAGCAAGGTAAGGTCTAATTGGTTGATTGCTGAAAGGTTTGGTCAATGTCAACACATTGTGATGACGTCATAAGATGGTGGCCTCTTAAAAGTTTACTCAATCTAGTAACTAATATTGTTTCATATCAGTTCAGATTTTATTTTCAGCAGTTTAATCTATATACAGTAGATTTCGCTTAATATCACTTCCCATTTGTCAGCGAAAAACATGATATTAACCGAAACATGACATAAACAGAATACATATTTTCTGACGTTTTTCAGCCCTCAAAACCGGAAGTGAACTTAGTCAAATGCCTAAGTGATGTGGCTCTACAAAGGAGATTGTAAAATAAAGATATTTTGTAACTAACCTTATTCTTTACTATAGTTGAAATATAGTATAAGTAAATAAGTATAGAAATAAAGATATTCTTTGTATTTCATTTCAGTATGCAGTTACATTTCATATAGTTAGTAGCAAAATGACGATCAGTATGATCGTAATTATGATTGTTTACTGCAGTAGTGATGTAGGCATACAAATTAGTGTTTGGCTGGTATTCTGCATCAAATTCAATTGTAAACATGAGACTTGGTAAATATTTACCTTTATCTTGATATATATACTGTTCTTTCGCTAGTAACATCTGTTTATAGTTTTATTTCTTTAAATATTTGCTGCAAGTGTGACATCGTTTTCTGCGAGTTTGTCTATCGCACCGTGACTTTTTACATTTGAAACGTAGCATTTCATTGGATGACCTCAATATGCAAATAAGAACACCAGGCAATGATAAAGTCTCGATGCATATTTTATTCACTCATTCTCAGTTACAATGTGTACATTGCTACTGACCAATCAGATGCCGTGTTATGAAATCGGGTTAAACCAGCCGTAAACGAGGGAAGTGAAAAATGTAGGCTTGTTACGATAGTTTGAACAATAAATGAAAACACAAAAGGCAATCTATTTATCACATCGACATTTGGAAAGTGTAATTAAACATAGGTCATAATTTTGCAATGAATACATTCTCGCAGATCACGATTTTACACCAGCAGCATACGGTAGAATTACGACAACACCATGTCGGCGTCGTACGTGGGTTATTTGAGATTCAAAACAAAGACAATTTTATCGTATTGTACGTGAACCTTGGTCAAACTTAAATAATTTAAGAAACTTATTGTTTGAAAGACACTCTTTATTTTAATCTCATTCAACATTTGTCATATTTTACGGAAGACCGTCCACTTGTATGCCTAATTCACGACAACGTAAATTCATATCTGGATACGAGCTGTAATGGAAGATAGTACACCTGTTAGTTGACTTGGCATTACAAAAGTTTACAGATGTAAGACTGTCCTNTACCTATGCAATGATGTTAAATTTGCTTTCAATTTGTAGATATTAATTTCAGCTTCATAGTATAGATATTGTTTCTGAATCAATTCTTATTACCCAAGATGATGTACTTGTAGACAAAACTAATCTAAAATGTAAAAATTCAATTAGTACGTAATATTTTAAAGATGAAATTCCAGTTATTTTTAGCTCACCTGGCCCTTATCCTTTGATCAATTTACACATTTAAATTGATGCTGAAGTCGATTATCTAATGCTTCATATCTTATTTGCTACAAATTAAAACAAGTTAATGCAATCATATAAAATAATGCTTTTAAACTACTGAAAAAATCTTGCAAACGGCCAAGATTGCTACTTCATCTTCAATATGCTACCATGTTTATACAGTAAATTAATATACTGCTTTAAAGCTTGACCTAACCATATTGCAATATGCCCAGGATTTCTTCTAATCCTTGAAATGTCATCAAATTTTTAGCTCACCTGGCCCGAAGGGCCAAGCATCGAAAAATATCATCTGCCGAATATTTTGAATTTTAGATTGAATGGAATAGAATCTTAACAATTATTGATGATGTACCAGTAGAAATAAAATTTCACCAAAACAATTATCGGCTACTTTTGAATGCTGTCTTGTAAGTTAAACATGTAAACTTTTTTTTAATACTTAAAATTAAGTCAAAACATTCCACGTTTGCTGCAGATGATCTATTTGTGAGTTAATACTTGCAAAATTAAATAAGGTATAGCATATCAGGAACCCCCACCCCTCTTTTATCTTTTTCATGACATGTGTCACATTTGAGCAGTTTTGTCAAGGATTTTTTTTTATATTTTATTTAATTTTTGAGTAACTGGAAGTTATTTAGTCTATCACCTCTGCCTGTTTCATCTTCAAATCATTTTAATTTTAGTGACATGAAATTCTGTAGTTATGACCTGTTTCATGTGTTATTAGAACATTGTTTTGACTCACAAATGGTTGTCGTTATACACCACTACACCATCTGGCTGAATCCTCTCCAAAACCTCTTTCTGTTTTAGACCCTACAAGTTTTGTCGTTTTCAGTTTTTAGATTTCTCTTTCATTTTGTTTTCTAACTTAGCACCCGAAACAACATCTGTGGCAACAACAGTAACGACACTGACAACAACAAACAACTCTGGTGTTGGGCCGACTTCTACTAACACTTTCACGGCTTCTACTAACAAAACCAGCCTTTCTTCTACGCAAGCAGCTCCTGTCTCCACCACAGCAGTAAAACCTACCAGTTCCCCGGACTGGCAGACCCCAGTAATAGCGGGTAGTGTGGCAGCGGTGGTAGTCGTGATAGTAGTGGTGGTTACTGTGGTCCTCTGTAAGAGAAAGTCTAAACCTGCTAATGATTCAATATCTCATTCAGCAGAACTGAGAGGTAGTGATAGGCCTGATGCTCACGCCAAAGGAGCACATGTAAATTCAGCATTTGTTAACTCGGATTACAGAGAAATTGATGAAAAACACTTCCATGAGAAAGAAATTTCTAACCGATCCAGTCAGTCAGAATCCATGAATCAGGGTTCCTTTGTCCCACAAAATCCTATCTCTAGTGACCCTGATGCTGATCAGACAAGAGAAACATTTCCCTCTAAATCTCGCGTGACGATTCCAAGGCCAGAAGTTAATTTGTCACGTAATTCTACCGAGGATCAGTTCTGGGAAGAAAGATTGTAGCCACGTTTTCAAAATGGTAAATCTGGAATCTATTTCATTGAAACAAATTGGAAAATAATAATATTGCATTTTAAACAGAATTCTAAATAATATAATTAAAGATTGATCATCATATTTCTTTTCAAAACTTGCTTGCTTATTTGATGTATAAGCACTTTGCCTGTATACATTATATATTAGCTGTAATTATCTCCTAAAACAGAAAAGCTTCCTAATAATTAACTTTTTGATCCATTTCATATCACTTTTAGTAACTAGAGTTTTTCCTCCTTCTGTAGGTCCGACCACTACCACTCCGACCACTACCACTCCGACTACTACCACTCCGACCACTACCACTCCGACTACTACCACTCCGACTACTACCACTACCACTCCGACTACTACCACTACCACTCCGACCACTACCACTCCGACTACTACCACTCCGACTACTACCACTCCGACCACTACCACTACACCTACTACCACTCCGACCTCTACCACTTCGACCACTATCACTCTGCCTAATACCACTTCAAGGTTTACAGACGAAGAACTAGGGGCAGTCATTGGAGGGACCATTGGAGGGATCTGTCTGCTGTTTATTGTAGGGCTTGGAGTTTTCTACTATTACCGGGTACAAAACAAAGAATCTGTTAAAAGGGATCACGAGAGAGGAGACAGAAATAAGCCACCAAGGGGAGGCAACCAACAGGGACCTGTGAAGAAGGAAAAGGTAGTTGTGTACCACAAAGGTCAGGCCTATTTGGTAGATCCAAGGTATCAAAAAGACTACAAAATGAGTTCCCACGGTTACAACAACAACGGATACCATCATGAGCCTCACACCAGAGAGACGAGGCATCACAATAATACGGGCAGGACAAGGTCAAATGGGCACTTCATCAGCCCTCAGAGTAATACAGGTCATAGGTCAGATAGACACTATGGCAGCCCTCAGAGTTACCCAGGTCATAGGTCAGACAGACAGTATGTCAGCCCTCAGAGCTACAGAGGTCATAGGTCAGACCCACAAATCTATCAACCTAATGACATTTCTCAGTATTACCCGAGTCAACCGTATAATGGTGGAAATGGTTATCCTCAGTATGAGAGGTACCCTGGACCAGGAAGAGGAGACGATAGACATATGTACTATTAGACGTATGTAACAGGGATTCAGTGCATCTGGAGTCGGACTGAACTTTGACCTCCTGATATGCATATTTTATGAAGATTGAGCCTGGATGAAACATAACTGACTGAAAAGTGCTTGGCACTGAAATATATGCTTTTTCCAGGGATGCATACTTTTACACATCAATTCAACTTAGCACCCCTGTAAACCAGAAAAAGTATTGAAACACTGTGAAGATTAAGAACAGTGACATCTGGGTCAGAAATTGTGTTTAGACATACAAAGATTTATCCAAAATGTCCTTACAACAGAACTGGAGCACTTTCCTGGAATTTGGTGTTTGGATTCTGATCCAGGAGTTCATTTTCTTATCTCGTTAACCTGGATATTTCTTGCTCAGTAGAAGTACAACTAACATTCTATCACCTTGCATCAAACTTGCAGACTGCCTTTATACAGAGAAACAAAAGTGGTTGTATTTCCCTGTGATAATGGTGTTTGTCAATATTCAGTGGTGGAGTTTTGTTTGGAATCATACTCACATATTTGTGATCTCCTATTATTACAAAATGATGGATTCTATGCACTCTTGTACTCTTCAAGAGAATTTGATCTTGATTGTTCCTGTTGAAAATCATATTCTTTCCAGATTGTTTAGCTGAAAAAACAAGTTTTCTTGCCAAGAGTGACATAGATTTTGCACCTCCTCGTATCTGTCACCAGACCCTAGTTTAGGTGATGCTAGCAAGCATTCACACTGTCTTCTAAAGTGTATGTTGCTTTATTGGAGACCTCAAGTTTTGGAACTCATGTATTTTACTCCCTTAACCCATTCTCCCCAAAGTCACATTTGGACCTTACCAAATCAAAGACTGGGCAAGTCCATTTTAAAAATGTAGGGATGAATATTTAAGCAGGCAATTTAAGTGATGAATTGTCATCTGGAAAATAAAGGGCAATTGGTTACTGTTTGATATATCTTCTCTATATCCCTATCAAAGGATCCGCTTGCTCTTTCATTTAAAATAAGTAAATCATTTATTGGCCCTAATGACCTCTTTTGTGTTGATGGGCCGTTAAGAATGTAATAACAATAATTCTCTCTCGCTAAAATCTCATAGCTTTTGAGTATTATAACTAATAACATCTTAATTTGTTGTTAAGAAGCGAGTTTTGCATTTTTGTCATCTTAACAATCATTTCTGTGCCATGGCTTTGTCAACACTCACCACAAAACTTCATAATTACTTACAGCAAATCCACCTATAACAATGCATTAGTAGGGATGCTGATCTCAAAGTAGAAATATGGGGAGACTGCTTCTTCACCAAGATGTTTTTTAGGTTATTTTCTCTTTTTGTTTTGATTTTTATGCTTTGTTTTCAAGTTTAGTTCATACATAGGCAATTTTATATTTAGAGTATAAACTCTTCGACAGTTTTCGAAAAATTCCACCAGCCAGATTTTTTTTTTCACTGTAACTATAGAAAAGTTTTCGCTGGCCATGACACACATGTAAAATTTACTAGCCCCAAGTTTGAAATTAGTTCTAGTTTCAAACCAACAAACCTTGATAGATAAAGAAAAAATCCTGGTGACTTTTCGAGAAGTACAGTGTAATGCTGGTGAAGGATGTACGTCAGAAATCTAGGTCTCCAATAAAACACAGTTATACAGTCACGATAATAGCTCTCAGTGATAAAATAATGTACCATGACTTTAATGCCCTTATCATGTTACTAGGTTTCATACTATCTCGGAATCCAAACAACTTATCTTTTTTTTATGATTTGACAGGGTAATACACAGTTTTATGTAGTTATTTCGTAGGAGTTTTAAATGTGTCAGATGTCAAGGTCATTGTTGCTAAAAATAGACCATGGGGTAGTAGGGTCAGGCTCATGGCAATCTTTCTAATAAAACTATTTTACATTGATGAAATTTTGAATGCTCTTTGTTCTTTCAACATCATCATATTTTACTTTAATCATTTATAAAGAATGTCAATGTTATAAAATATTATTCAGCTTTATGCTTTATCTTTCAACATAACAAAATTAAACCTTCAATCAAACACTCGTAAGTCACATTCAAATAAGAATGCAAATATGACTTAAATAAACTGTATTGAAAATTATTCAGTTTGTAATGATATTTTAAACCTCTTTCATTTTGAACCAAGATAAAACATACACTCTATCAACCTATTTCTTCCATTTTCAAAAAATAAAATACTTTTGTAGTTTCTCCGATTTTGTGGCAAGTTTTTGAATAAAAAATATTGTAATCTAAATTTGGATATATATTCAGGGTTAATATATAGAATGCAATCTTGTCAAACAGGTTTTGTGTTAGACACGAAAGTTTAAATTAAACTATAGCACAATGGTACATGGGTGTGTCAGTATTTTGTGAATATAAATATCTACTTTTTTTTAATTGGATACATTTTTTTAAAAATAATATTTACTTTGGACTCCAAATCTTATTGTGAATTTATTAAAAAAAATATTTCAAATATAACTTCATATAAAGGGATAAAGATTATAATGTAATTCTACTTAGATGCATCATCAATAACAGGCAGTAATTTGAATCATTTCACCTTAGCTCATGTTTATAACCAATCATGTGGATTATCACTTGTCCTAATATGAAGAAGGATAAAATCATAATTATGTAGGAGACTCAGCTTAAGCTATTTACCAGTAGAACGCTTTTTGTTATGTAATGCTTGTAAATAATGTAAAACATAAATAGTCCCTGAGACTTTTAGACATGCTGTATATAAATAATTCAAATGTTGTATGATTGAACATCTAAAAATGTGTAATCATTTTAGAGAGATATTATAATCAGCTGTGCTAATCAAAATGTAGATGCCTTACTTTGATGTTGAGGTTATATTTAGAGTTAGTGTGTCTGGTTGTAAGTGGACCTAGTGTGTGTGGTTGTAAGTGGAGTCAGTGTGTTTGGTTGTAAGTGGAGTCAGTGTGTGTGATTGTTTGCGGAGTCAGTGTGTGTGGTTGTAAGTGGACCTAGTGTGACTGATTGTAAGTGGACCGAGTGTGTCTGGTTGTAAGTAGAGTCGCGTGTGGTTGTAAGTGGAGTACCTAGTGTGTCTGTTGGTAAGTAGAGTCAGTGTGTGTGGTTGTAAGTGGAGTCAGTGTGTGTGGTTGTAAGTGGAGTCAGTGTGTGTGATTGTTTGTGGAGTCAGTGTGTGTGGTTGTAAGTGGACCTATTGTGTGTGGTTGTAAGTGGACCGAGTGTATGTGGTTGTAAATAGAGTCATTGTGTGTGGTTGTTAGTGGACCTAGTGTGTCTGGTTGTAAGTGGACCTATTGTGTGTGGTTGTAAGTAGAAACATTGTGTGTGGTTGTAAGTGGAGTCAGTGTGTGTGGTTGTAAGTGGAGTCGGTGGGTGTGGCTGTATGTGGAGTCTGTGTGTGGTTGTAAGTGGAGTCGGTGGGTGTGGCTGTAATTGGAGTCAGTGTGTGTGGCTGTTAGTGGAGTCAGTGTGTGTGGTTGTAAATGGAGTCAGTGTGTGGGGTTGTAAGTGGAGTCAGTGTGTGTGGTTGTAAGTGGAGTCATCGCGTGTGGTTGTAAGTGGAGTCTGTGTGTGTGGTTGTAAGTGGAGTCAGTGTGTGTGGCTGTTAGTGGAGTCAGTGTGTGTGGTTGTAAATGGAGTCAGTGTGTGGGGTTGTAAGTTGAGTCAGTGTGTGTGGTTGTAAGTAGAGTCAGTGTATATGGTTGTAAGTGGAGTCAGTGTGTGTGGTTGTAAGTGGACCTAGAGTGTGTGGTTGTAAGTGGACCTAGTGTGTGATGTGTGTGTGTGGTTGTAAGTGGAGTCGGTGGGTGTGGATGTAATTGGAGTCAGTGTGTGTGGCTGTTAGTGGAGTCAGTGTGTGTGGTTGTAAATGGAGTCAGGGTGTGGGGTTGTAAGTGGAGTCAGTGTGTGTGGTAGTAAGTGGAGTCATCGTGTGTGGTTGTAAGTGGAGTCTGTGTGTGTGGTTGTAAGTGGAGTCAGTGTGTGTGGCTGTTAGTGGAGTCAGTGTGTGTGGTTGTAAATGGAGTCAGTGTGTGGGGTTGTAAGTGGAGTCAGTGTGTGTGGTTGTAAGTAGAGTCAGTGTATATGGTTGTAAGTGGAGTCAGTGTGTGTGGTTGTTAGTGGACCTAGTGTGTGTAGTTGTAAGTGGGGATAGTGTGTTTTGTTGTAAGT